CACTGAAATCAATGGAAGCTTTGCCACTGATTTCAATGGGATCAAGAACCCAATCCTGCAATCAATAGGTGTGTTTTGCCTGAGTAAGGATGAATAAAGACTGTAGAACTAAACCTAAATTATACAAGCCCGTTTAAAGAAAAATGCAGAAAAGAAGCAGAGAAGATAAAAATGTGAATTTAGAGTGGTTTCCATTCAGTTGTTTGTTTCAGTTGGAGCTGGACTGGGTCCATTGGAGCTTTGCCCGAGTAAAGATTGCAGGATCAAAACACAATCATGTCATACATTTTGATTATACAGATCCATATAAAGATTAGTGGGGAGGAAAAAGGCAAAAAAGATGAGACTATGAACTGTCTGGTGACTTCTTTTCAGCGGCTGCTTCGAAAGCAGACCTTCAGTTACTAACTCCTTCTTAAAGATAAACAAAATTGTTGACTGTACAAATTGTCATACCTAAGTATTAATTGAGTCTACTCTTTTGCTGTCTTCTCCCCACACATCTCACCCATTTCCCCAGCCCAGGATTATGTATTTCTTTAGAAGCACCAGCAAATCAGAATTTATTGTACATATGTTTGTGTTCCACTTAATAAAAAATATACCTATATTTTCAGATAAACTTTGTTAGTAATTCATGAGGTAAGTGACTATTTATGCTAATAAGGGAGAAATATATTCTAAAGCATAACGCATTACATAAATTTGAATGCAAAATGTTCAATTATGAAGTAAATACAGGTAATGCAAATAGTAAATTACATCTAATAAAATATATATAAAGAATGTGTCTTCGAAGAGAAGCTTTTACTTGCATCTGTGAGTTGTTTAAAGAGAAAAGAATTAATAAGTACTGAGTTACTATGTTGATTATTTAGCTCATAATTCACCTATCTGTAATGACTCCTAGTAATCAGACTGTTTCATGTCCTCGAATATAAGGCAGGACTGTTTCCTCAGCAATTTTATCCCTATCAGATTATCTTGTCTGATTCTATTAATTCTCTCCCATAAATCTGCTAACAGTGATTTGTGATTTACTTACCCTGTTAACTGATCTGAAGACTGTTAAAAGGATTTATCTAGCACTGCACCTAAGAGCAGTTTATGGCTTATCATTCTGTTACTCTGAGGAAGTCTTTCTGAAATCAATTTGGTTGGTTTCATAGTTAAATTCAGCGGACACTGTTTAGTTCTGCACCATAAAATAAGATACTAGATAAACAAAAGGTGCAGTGACTGTACTTAATGTGTTGTCCTTGATATGTGTTTGTTTAAGTTTATAACAAATTACCCTTAAAGTCAATATAATTCATAATCTGCATGTTACCTTTTTTATAAACCTCTTTTATACATAATATATATGTACATATATATATATATACACACACACACACTTTTTTACTTAACTAGGAAAGCTCTTAATACACAGTTGAAGTTCCTGTACCAATGTAATCAAATTAATGTGTATTCTGATGTTTAATGTTTCACATTCAACTGTATGGTTTGTCCCCAAAAAAAAATCTTACCGAAAATATACATCAGTTTAGGAAAGCTTATGAACCTGGTCAATAACTAGTGAAAATAGGGTTCTAAATTACATTAAAAGAGGTTTCTAAAAGCAATAGATATCAAGAGCCTGTTAAAAGAACCATACTCTGCTTGGATTAGGACAGGATTGTAACAAACAGTGCTAGGAAAAGGGGGCAGTCTGAAAGAATTTGGCCTGCAATAATTGTGGAAAATGGAAGGCTGAATAGCTCTAATTGAAATGAAAGTGTGTGATTGTTATGAAAGAAACACTGTTAATAGAGGACTGTAAATGTTTAGACACCCATTGTGAATAGTCAAATAATAAAGAAAAATACTACAAAAATGAGAATTATATGGTGTTGGGAGGGGGGTGTCGCTTTTGAAGGTTATCAAAAATTACTAATCTTTTTTCTCTGGTGTGCTAAACAATAGACATTTTGGCGTGGCAGTCATATGCAATAGTTAAACAAGGACAATATTGTACAACCAATAATTTTACTTGATGTTCTAGCAGGTCAGAGGTCCAGATTAATTTACAGCATTTGCTTATATTGGTATCAATTCAGAAAAAGCGCCTATTAGCACATACCATTTCATACTCTGCCTATAGTTTAGAGTTTACTCAGTAAAATTCCTAGTTTGCAAATGTAGCACATTAAATCCTCATGTCCAAACTATTTCATAGGTCTGACAATGTATTTCCTCAGGCATCTATAAAATGGGCCAGTGAAATACTACAATTGTAAATTCTGAAAAGCAATAACATTTTTCATTTAAAAATATTAACACATAGTTTGTCTAATAGGGGAGAACGTGAAGTGATATACTGTACCACAATCATCTTGCTCAAGAAGATAACCAAACATAGGGAATTGGATTATCCTTTGCAGATTTATGCTAAGAGCCAGTGACTTTTGTTGAGTACAACAATGTCAAAAACAGGAAAGCAAGCCCGAGTAGTTAAGTTGTATTAACTTTGCCACAAATAACAATCGATGCTGAACAGATGTCCATAGTTATTGTTCTGCTGTCAAAATAGTTACAGAAAATGTTTCTAGACTGAGTTATCTTTACAAATCTATGGTATGCTAAACTTCTTTTAAGTGTCAGTGGCAATATAAACTGTATGACTTTCAGATGCTAATACTGGAGCTGATAATCATAATGGGATAATCATGAGATGTTATCTACTGTAAACCTACTACCTATGTCCTACTTCCCAGGTGGAGATTCTTTGGCTTTTGAAAATGACGATTTCCACAACTGGTGGAAAAAAATATGGAGTAATATTCTTGGAATTGTTATAAATAGCAAATTATTTATAACAAGAGAGGCAGGAGAGTGAGACAGCAGGGGAAGAAGAAAGGTTCTGAAGTGCAATGTTCAATAAGCTGGTTTAATATATGACTAAGTGTCAGAAGTCAGGTTTCTGAGACTTACTTCTCAGATAAACAACTTTATAGCACTGCACTTAATCTTACTTACTACAGACAACTCATTTATCACTGAATTACAAGTAACTTTAATTCTATTGGTACTGCCATAAAGTCAGTTGAAAATCAAGGCTGGCAATTTTAAAGATTTCTTTTTTGTCTTACTTCAGGATACCCTGTGCAGAAACATTACCAGCATAGCCTCTTGTCTCTACCCCCTTTGTTAAACTGAGAAGCCAGCTCTTTAGACAGGGTGACTTGGTTGCCTTTATTGCAGTAGCCTAGGGAACGGCCTGATTGGCAGGCACGAGAAATCCACCGCGGTAAGAGTTAATGGCAGAGTTAATGCGCTACATAAACTTTTCTGCACTTACACTACAAGAAAGCTGGTTGATCAACAAAACTGGACATGGATCAAGATTAAACTGACCTTTGCCGAAAGGTGGCGCTGTCGAGGTTTAAACCAAGCACATCCACCGTGGTTTTCACTCTTCCTTCCCAATTTGCTTTCAGTTTTTACAACAAAAAATAAAATAAAATAAATATAATTAGCTCTAAATGTATTAAATTAATTAAACAGATCAACAGTCTAAAGGGGCGCTGCTGGGGATCTGCATACAATAGCTGCGTTTATAGATAGAGACAGATCTTTCCTAGCCCCTCCAATCCAAATCTCTTCTCCCAAACTTGCCCCCTCTTTAGAATCTGAGCCTACACTGGAGTTTGGTTTGATTTGTTTGCACGAGGTCAAACAGCAATCGATTCGTGGGCTGGGGGTCGTTATCAGCACTAAAGTGGGGACAGGAGCCCCTGGCCGGGTGGCAAGCCGCTTTGCTGAACGTGTAACCCCTTGATGATGTAGGGTAGATGGGGGAGGGCTGAATGTCACGATCAAGTACAAAGTTATTCACTTTAACTTGAGCGTGCAAGTGGCCCGAACCCCAGCTAGGCGGGGATCAGATTATACTTTGCGCGTGCACGAGACAGGAGGCAAAGGCCTCGGTGTGGCCGAAGTCTGCAGGAGGGATCTCTCGGCTTTGCTGAGCTCCTGAGTGAACTCTTCCTAGCCTTTGTGCCGCTGCCCAGGCTCGGCGGTTACTTTAGCAGCCCTGCTGGGGGGACGGGAGCGGAGTTTCATTTGCTTCCTTCATCAACATGCCCCGAAAGTAAGTTTCTCTACGATGGACCCAGTGTCTGTCTCTTTAGTCCAACAGCTCAAAAGGTGCCTGCCCCCTAGACGGCACAGCCTTAACTTCACACTTACCTTCGCTCCCCATTTCCAGACTCCCCTCCCAAAGCCACCCCCGCCTTTTAGCAAAAGTCCCTGCGTTTCTTGGTAGACGGTTCCCCCCAGCAAGAGACGGGCCTCCTACCCCTTCCGCCCGAGGATGGTTTAGGTAGGATCAGTTGTTTTATTAAACAAAAAAACAAAAACATGCACTATAAGAAACAAGTTACCTAACAAAGCTGTCACATATAAATGCTTCAGCATGGCATGCAGAGAAAGAGAAAACTGCGAGAGTTTTAAGGAGGCCACGTTTATGCTTTCCTATTAAAAACAGTGCAACAAAAAGAAAGAAAAGGAAACAAAGCACTGAATTTCCTGAATTCCCTAATATTTTCTCTCTTAACTCAGGTGATAAACATTAAGCCCATGTGAAAACGAGTGCAAGGATATGGTGAAGAAAGAGTTAAAAGCATAGCCCCAGCTGACAGTCAGCTGATTGGCCCCTGATTGACAGCTTCGAAAAGTTTCCTTGTTTCTATACTATTATGCTAATGAGGGCTGAGATTGAAGCAATCCATTGGTCCAGACTTAGAGTCAATTTCCCATTTGAAAGCTGACGTCAGGACTGCTATAAAACTCAGCAATGCTTTTAAACTCTACTGCTGGATGAGACCTTTAAAATGTTTTTCATCTTCTTGCTGTAGCTTTGGGGTTCCGTTTTTTCTTTCTTTTTTTTTTAAAGAAAAAATATTATTTTGGTTATCGCGCCGACTTAATTTCTTCTTTTTTTTTTGATTTTAATTTATCCTTCAGTCTTTTCCCCCTCCTCCTCTTCCCCGATGAACCTCTTCTCGGTTTGCACTTTGCATGAAAAAGACCGGAGGAAAGACATGATGAAGTGTTAAAAAATAATCATAAAGCCACCTTTGCAGCAACAACAACTAACAATTCCAGCTGCAGTTTGCCAAGCTGCAACAGAGAGAAACAACCTTTATGCAAAAGGCGACTAGAAAGAGCAACCCGCTCTGATGCATCATCAATACTATAGGCTCTGCAAAGGATAATAAAGAGAGAGAGAGAGAAACAGTCGGTGCAAATTGGAGCGAAGGTTGCAAGGGGCTGGTGGAGAGAGAGAAGGAAAATAGATATTGCAAATAATCAAGCTGGCTCACCCGGTTGCAACTCAGAGCAGTCCCCTCGCTCCTGGTGCGCACCCTTTCTGGAGGACTGTCAGCAGCAAAAGGATGGCATCAGAACTGGCAATGAGCAACTCCGACCTGCCCACCAGTCCCCTGGCCATGGAATATGTTAATGACTTCGATCTGATGAAGTTTGAAGTGAAAAAGGAGCCGGTGGAGACCGATCGCATTATCAGCCAGTGCGGCCGCTTGATCGCTGGGGGATCGCTCTCTTCCACCCCGATGAGCACGCCCTGCAGCTCGGTGCCCCCTTCCCCGAGCTTCTCGGCGCCCAGCCCGGGCTCTGGCACGGACCAGAAGACCCACCTGGAAGATTATTACTGGATGACCGGCTACCCGCAGCAGCTCAACCCAGAGGCGTTGGGATTCAGCCCCGAAGACGCGGTGGAAGCGCTGATCAACAGCAGCCACCACCAACTCCAGGGCAGCTTCGATGGCTATGCTAGAGGGCAGCAGCTGGCCGCCGCGGCGGCCGGCACTGGCGGCTCCATGCCCGGGGAAGAGATGGGCTCTGCCGCCGCCGTGGTCTCCGCAGTGATCGCTGCGGCCGCGGCTCAGAACGGGGCACCCCACTACCACCACCATCACCACCCGGCGGGGCACCACCACCACCAGCAGCCGGGCAGCGTGCAGTCCAGCAGCAGTAGCAGCAGCAGCAGCAGCACCGGGGGAGGCGGTGGTGGAGGGGGTCTGCACCACCCGCACCACAGCAGCAGCCTGCATTTCGACGACCGCTTCTCGGATGAGCAGCTGGTGACCATGTCGGTGAGGGAGCTGAACAGGCAGCTCCGAGGGGTGAGCAAGGAAGAGGTGATCCGGCTGAAACAGAAGAGGAGGACCCTCAAAAACAGAGGCTATGCCCAGTCCTGTCGCTTCAAGAGGGTCCAGCAAAGGCACGTCCTGGAGTCAGAGAAGAACCAGCTGCTGCAGCAAGTAGAGCACCTAAAGCAAGAGATCTCCAGGCTGGTCCGGGAGAGGGACGCCTACAAGGAAAAATATGAGAAGCTGGTCAGCAATGGCTTCAGAGAAAACGGATCCAGCAGCGACAACCCTTCCTCTCCAGAGTTTTTCATGTGAGTTCCAACAGCCTTGCCACCTTAAATAAAGTTCTCCATGTGAGTTGTTGTTGGGGGCTTGCTAGATCAACAACCAAGCTTGCCACCTTATATTTTTTTAAACTCGAAACAATTAAAACAAACAAAAAAACAACAACAAAAAAGTTGTTTTTTTAAGGTGGGGCTGGCTCATTGTTGGCCAACCTAAAGTTCTACATGAGTTGCTTTTCTGTTTTATTTTTGTGGGGGCTTGCAATGTGTTTTTTTTTTAAACATTATAAGATCCAACTTGCCACCAACTCAGTTCTTCATATGAAGTTTGTTGTTTGAAACCTGCCATCCACATTATATTTTTTTAAGTTCATGAGGTTTTTTTTTCTTTTGACCTTGCTGTGTCCAAAAAAGTCAAAGGTGTTTGGTTTTTTTTGCCATCCTGAATTCTTCATATGAGATTTGAGCTTTGCAAAAAAAATAAAATAAAATAAAATTAAAAAAAACAAAAAACATACAAAAAATACAAAAACAATGTGAATTTTTTAGACTCCAGCTTGCTGAGTTCCATCAGTTTTTAGCGTTGTTGTGCTAAACTAGAGATATACCTAGATCAACCTGCCAAAATCAAGCCTGCATCAGCCTTCGGTGTGTTCATGTGAGTTTTGGCCTTAATCTGCCAAACATGAGACTTTTAGTCTGCCATTAGATCCCATACTCATCTCATGCATTATGCTTGCTATTTTGTCTTAGCAACAATGGACTATGGAAAAGAGACATTATATTAATAAAACACCCTGCATGCTGGACATGTATGGTATAATTATTTTTTTTCTTTTGCTTGGAAATGGACTTTTGGAGACTATTATGGCATGGCATTCATCCTTTTGTTTTATTGCCTCATCACTTTTTTGAGTTGAAAGCAAAAAAGTGCAACCTTTGATCTTCCTCCTCTTCCTCCCCATTAAAGTTTGCGTCTGCTCTAAAACTGCTTTGAGTTACTCAAAACTTCAGACTTCCTTTTAAATGCACTGAAGCATTCCCTGTTCTAAAAATGCCAGAATGGATTCTGATAACCTAATGTGGCAAAAAAAAAAAGAAAAAAAAAGAAACTTTGGAAAGATGTTTTTTTTTAAAAATCGCTTCCCAATTTGGGGACTTTAAAACCATGCTGTTGCCTAAAGCAGTCTAAAATTTATCTTTACGTGATCTGCCCCAAGTTTATTTCCTTTTTTTCTTTTGCATCTGGTCATTGTCAAATGTGAATGCTCTGGGTTCCTAGTATATAATTTAATTCTAGTTTTTATCATCTGTACGCCAAGTTAAAATGTATGCTACAGATAAAGGAATGTTATAGATAAATTTGAAAGAGTTAGGTCTGTTTAGATGTAGATTTAAAAACAAAAAGATTGATGCACTAAATTGTTTACTGTTGTGATGTAAAGGGGGGTAGAATTTGCAATGGGACTGTTTTTTAAGAGTAGCTTATGCAGCATGTGCTTGCAACTTAAATATAAGTTGGGTATATGTAGTACTTGCTATACCACTAACTGTATTTGAAAACCAAAGTATTAAAAGGGGGAGGCACCCCTGTTTATATCTATAGGGGTATTTTACATTCAAAATGTATTTTTTTTTCAAAATTGAAGTATTTGGGACTGAATTGCACTAAGATATAACCTGCAAGCATATAAAAAAAGACAAACCTGTTTAGAACGCTAATACAGTTTATGCAGTTATAAAGATGGCATTACTGCACAGTTTTAAGATGATGCAGATTTTTTTACAGTTGTATTGTGGTGCAGAACTGGATTTTCTGTAACTTCAAAAATTCCACAGTTTTAAAGGCAATAACCAGTAAATTTTATTTTCAGGGACTGATATCCTGTCTTTTAAAAAAAATGGAAAGTAAATCTTACCACAATAAATATAAAAAAATCTTGTCAGTTACTTTTTCTTTTACATATTTTGCTGTGCAAAATTGTTTTATATCTTGAGTTACTAACCACGTGTGATGTTCTTATGTGCTTTTCTTTCATTTTCAACTTTATGGTTATATCAAAAGAGAGAATAATCTACAATAATAAACTGCATTTTTTTGATTCTGTACTCAGTTTTTTAGTGTGTAGTTTAAAAAGTTAAACAACTATGAAAGCAGTATCTAAGCCTAATACATTGCAAGGAAGTGATGCTGATACAAGAGTTGAACCCACTGATAAAAAGGAGAAGAGAAGTTAGTGACCAGTTATATGTAAAGTGGAAAATTATCACCCACTAGAAATTAGTTATATGTCAGGCAGGTGAAAAACGTGATCTTTCAGGTACTTGGTATAATTTCTCAGTTTTGTAATGACTTAGAGAGCCTTAGTTGCTATGAGTCATATCGTGCCATCAATTTCAAGCCATTGATCTCAAAGGGAAGTTCTGCTGAAAAACCTGATGACACGATATGGTCCTATATTTTGATTGTTTTATGATGGAGTAGAGTGAAAGGGAAGACTTAACATCCTCTTATCATCTGATCCAAGCAGAACAGTTTGTATGTAGTAAGAGATGACACCGCGTCAGGTTTTTCTTGTCACATATTCATTTAATGTTAGAGATAAAGAGTTTTGGACATTTGGCAGATACCCCATTCTAACCTCCCTCCCCTCCCTTTTCCACATCAGAGTTTTCTTGTCAGCCACAGGCCTTAGAAGGTTCACAGTGAATTTAGGAGGGAAAAATAAAAAATCAAAGGACTTTCAAGTTATTTGTCCTAAACAAACATTCAAAAAGGTTAATTTGCTAAAAAATGTCAAGGTTCAAAGCTCTGAATATCTCCTAAAACAATTGACCCAATTATTTTACAGTTACTTTCCCTAGCAGCTCCCAAATAAGTAGAGAGGTTTTCATAGCGTTTTCTCCAGTATTTGAATAGGATTAACTTTGTAGTTCATTTGAAAAACTTAGGCCTCTCTGAAGAATGTTACAGCTTCACTTGAATTTAGCTTTATCTCAGGCTCATAAAAACCAACACTATTTATAAATTTCTTCCAAATTATAAAATAACCCCCAGAGTACGGAGAGAGTGGAATTTAAAACATCACAGCAAACTGCACCAGAATTCTGTTCTTGGGGGTGGGGGGTCAAACAGCTGTTTCTCAGAGAAACTGCTCCAGGTTGGGTCTTGCACTGTTTACCCAGGCAGAGTTCTCACTGATTTCAGGTCAGGACTGAAGGATCGGACCCCTAAGTCATGCTCTGCTCAGGAAGACCGAGTTTCCCTTAAAACACAACAGGTTGTGTCAACAGTCACATCGAGGGGGGGGGGGAGTTCAAGCATTGATTTCTGACTGAATCAGCTCCCATTAAAGTCAATGGCAAATAAATAAATCTCTGACTTCAGTGGTAGCAGAATGGGTCCTTTCAATGGGAAACTTTTATGGAGCTTTGGAACTGGTCCCTGGTGTTAACCAATTCTGTTCTATATTCGTCCCTCCTCCTGAACACGAAGTCAATGGAGTGCCCTTTGGCATTTGACCTTCTGTTACACCACAATTTGAGTAATGGTTCAAGCTCCATATTCTGGTTAATTGGAGCTTCATATTCTAGTTAATATGTAATCTGAGGGTAAACTGGCTGCCATTGGCTGATTAGAAAATTATCTGCTCTAGTAAAGATAGCAACTTTTTCTCCTTCTTGAAATGTTTAAACCTCTATTAGTGCCCACATTTTTCATAGCGGTCACTTAGGGACTGAATCATTCCAAAAGATTCACAAGTATTGATATTTTCAGTAAACTGATAAGCACCTTACGTTTAAAATTACCTTTTAAACTAATACACTGCAGCTAGTTCCTTAGGCACAGATGCAGAGCCCCACTTATGTGCAATCAATTTGTGGCACAACATTAACCCGGTTAATACAATAGATCTTATAGTTTAGTAACATGAAAAGGTGTAAGCAGTTACTAGGTTTACAATAGTATTTTGAGGCCAAGAAGAGGTGATAGAGCAAATGAAACATTGCTCTTTCTGGGTTTTGCTTGGTTGGTTTTAGTACACCCACAGTATAGGTAAAGGTTTTATGAACTGAGCTAAGAAAAGCCTTCCAAGAAATAGATTGTCAGAGGGAAAAACACTCCAACAGAGAAAAGGCTGGTCCTTTTCCTAGCCCATGAACCTAACATATCAGTCTTTACTTCAGACTTAAAATGCATTGTCTTCCTTAGGCTGTATTTGAATCTCTGTCTGAAATACTGTTACATTGCAACTAAAGAAAAAAAAACCCACTACAAGCAAGTTTTAATAACCACTAAAGCAAACCATCTACTGGGGTTCTGTGTGAATTTAAGGGGAGATCACACCTTTCCAGCAGAACTGCTTGCTGAGAACTAATTGGAACAGATCTGCTCTGAATAACCTATATTCATTAATCACCCCTTGCTTGGAGCATTCTGGCTTGTATCCTGCTAAGCCTCTCACTAAACTCAGTGCTAAAATTCCCATTGATTTGAATGGGGAGCAGGAGTCTGTACCCTTTACTGACTTCTCACTCATGTAAATCTCTTACTGAAGTCAGTGGAAGCTTTGCCTGAGTAAGGAGATATGGCCCCATATGTCAAAAGAGATAGTTAGTTCTTACTCTCCACATCGTTAACAGTGTCCCATTTCTGCCATCGCCCTATGGTTCTTTCTCATTTATTACCTACATTGCAAAGAATGTTCATTAAGATGTGCACAAAAGAGGCGACCCTTTGCTCAGTTTGAAATATGGTTCAATGTGATACAAAAAAACCCCCCAACTCTTAAGCTTTTTCTAAAATGTAGCATAACCCCCTTCCCAACATCAAGGATTCGGCTTAGTGGAGTGAAATATTTTTGTGTTTGTACTACAGTATTTTCCCTGCCTCCGCACACAGGATCACATCTGAAAAGGGGAAAATATTCATAGCCACCTGAGTGTATTTTTTCTTTAATAACTCTCTGCAATTGCAACTGTGCTGTTTGCTCATTTTGTTCAGCAACAATAAAAATGTGGCTTTA